CCAATATGCGTTTTTGCTGCCTGTTGCAGCGCTCTAGCGCTGCACGGCAAAAACGCATAAAAATACGATGCAAAATAAAGAGCCAGATTGAAGTAGTCCTGAAAGACGCCCATAGCCGAATGAGAAATTGATGTGCTAATTGTGTATGTCTTCGAAGGAGAGGGGCCTTAAAAGGGGGAGGGGGAGCTGGTAGAAGCATTTACGAACTTTCCAACGGTATGAGCACGAATGAGATTTGGAGGCAAATCGTACCACACATTAACTATTCCTGCAGAGGAAAAAAAATTCGAGGAAACTCCTTTTTTTTAGCTAAACGAGAACGAAATTTTAAATCGATGGTTTGATTGTTAACGAAATTGAGATCTTTTTCGTGTGTTTGGGGAATTTTTTATGCTCAAAAAATTAGCATCCTGAAGCATAACTTTAATTCACATTCTTTTGATTAATGTTGCATTAACTTAGGGTTTGTCTGCTGGCGATCCTGACATCTGTTTTGCCTTCCGTAAGGATTACCGGTCCTACGGTTTTCTAGACATAACATTTGCAAAGCCCAAGGAATTTCGAAATTGTATATTAGATATATAGTTATATAGAAACAATGAAGTAGCATTGTTTTGAGTGAATTCAATGTTTCACTGTTTTATTGCTATTTTCAGCAAACTTTGAAATATCGACAGTTTTTCCGCAATCTTCGATCTCTACCGTTTTGCCAGGTATTTTTGATAATTACGCACATTTTTTTTTTGTTTCTCGGTTAGTATTTTTCCAGTTCCCGGTGTGACTACGAACCTCGGTAAATCCCATCTGGAAGCACATCATCCCCCCAGGTTTTTTCAATTTTCGACGCTTTCGATGATTCGAGTAAATTTTCCGACTTTTTATTATGGTTGTAATTGAAAATCTTGCTTGTTTTAATATTTTGATCGATTTTAGTAATTGCCTTAACGGTTCGAGTAGATTGCATAAATTGTAAAACGATGGTAGATAAGTTTTTTTTTTTCTTTTTAATGTGATTTTTCAGGCGGTGCCGGATTGAATGGGCTTCAGAATGACTTGAAAGATCACAAAGCAACAATTACATTCAAAGGAAGTATCAGTGCATTTGGCACACAGAGTGCCAGTTCGCCAGGTATACAAATTTTTGTGCAGAATCGGGAAAAACCGTTAAAAAAAGCTTATGTTACTATCCTTATGAGTGGATCGGAATTGGCCATGTGGCGGAGACAGCAGGTGGAAAAAGCGGTTTATTGAATGGTACTTATCCACTGTTTAATTAAGTTTTGATAAGTAATGCCAATGAAATGGAAGGATTCACTTGAACACCTCGGTGGAGTAAATTTATGCAATGAGCTCCGAATCGAGCCCGCTGGAAACGTATTGTTGGCGAAAAGGAACATCAGTTGTACTGGTAGTGGGAAGGAAAAAATATCACAATGAACAACAGATGTTCATAGAAAAGGGCTATATGAAGACATTTTTGGATTTGTCGAGTTCCATATGAATTTTTACCATGCAAGGGATGAAATCTTTGGTAAGTTTCTTCTTCGTACCTTATTAATCGAATCTGTGATCAATCAGACTGGTCTATTTTTACCACATTTCATAATTTTCTAAGTTTTTCCCCTTATTAGGAGTGAAGAATAATATCACAATATCTCTTCAGGAATATCATAATATCAGGAATATCAGGATCAGGGTAATATATCATAAAATATTACAATATCATAATCGTAATGTCATAATATCATAAAAAAATATCATAATATCAGGATAATGTCATAGTATCAGGAATAATAACATAATATCATAAATCACAATCTCTTCATAAGTATATAAGCAATGAGCAATGAGACTCTCCGTCAGATGAGTAGCGATAGAATAAGGATACTTTAGCAACTGCGGAAAAAAAACTTAATCCGATATGCAGGACGAGTTGCTTGTTTTGCTGACAGCCAATGGATGCTGCGTAACAGCGAGTGGTAGTTGCGGAGAAATACGCATTCATTTTGAATAGCTTCCGAAGATCATTTGAAAAAAATGAACATTATTTTCAGGTTTAAGTGCAACGATGTTTCAATTTTCGCCACTCGTTGAGCATTTTCTTCAAACAATCACAAAAACTCAGCCAACGAATGCAAATTTACCACTGGTTGTGCTTGATTCCAGTTCTAGCGCACCAATTACTATCAATGATAACTCGGATTCATACAAGGTTTTTTTATTTTTGAATAAAATTGATTTGTATTAATTGATTTTCTTGAAAATTGATGTTTTCTGAATAATAGTTTTTAAGCAACTATTCAAGTGTGCATCAATAATTTTATGCTAAATCCGCTAGTTAAACTTAATGATTGACTTGTTTACAATCTTTTTTCTCAAAGTAGATTGACGAAAAACCAAATTCTTCTGCGAGAGCAAAAGTAGATGACCTCATAAAAGAACACTACAACAAAGTTTTTTAAGATTAAGAATTTCTAGAACTCTGATATTCTTGTTCCATATCACTGTCTTTGCCGTTTTAAGTCGTCAGTGAATTGGTGATGAAACGCTTCCATCAATGATAGAGATTGTTGAGAACGCGACAATGTTGATAGTAAAACTGGTTGAAGAAGAGCTGACTCTTTGATAAATAAGCGTTTAGTAACAGTGCTTAAAAAAGTTGAGTATGAAATAACACACAAGAACGATCGAAAAGCCGACCATTGGACAAAGAATCTTTTACCAGAGCAACCACTGTATTGAATTAAAGTTGTATCAAGCACTTTGGAGAAGAAGCCTCTTTTTAAAAAAAAACTTAAAAAAGTGTAGATATTTAGATCGCCGTCTGACTGACAGATGCTCCATATTGTATAGTGCATCAAATGTAGAATTGTATACGCTTCCTGATTGTCCTACAATGACTGTTTTATGAAAATATGCAAATTCATGTACTCACTCAGCTGCCAGTCCACTATTATTAGATTTTTATAATTCCAGATTTTTATATGATTCCAGATTTTTCCATTTCTTTTTAATATAATTCCAGATTTTTTATATAATTCCAGATTTTTATATAATTCCAGATTTTTCTAATGTAATTTCAGGTTTTTCCGGAAAGCAACACCATCAAGAATGTCACTGTTTTGCAATCGAGCAACAGCCAGCAGCAACAACCATCCACCTCACACGCATCCATTTCACCGTATGCAATTCAGCCGATTCTAACGGAGCATTTACAACAAGTAGGCGAATTCTCTTCGCAAACTTTCAGTTTAGCAGAGTAGTGGAATTCATGGGTCTAACAAAGATTTCCCGACTCGTTATTTTGTGCATGAGTGCAGCTATTTAGTCGGACAACTGTATTTATTCGCTATATTTTTATCTGTTCACATTGGCATTTACTAGCGTAAGCAGCGTCGATGATAAATGTGGAAAACCTGAAACAACTTATACCCCATTCTCTGCCCTGGTAATCCCACAATCATAGTTTCTTCCTCTTTCTTCCTTTCTTTACTTTTTTCCCTCATTAAGCACTGCGGCCACCATACTGACGAGGTCCAGTCTCGATGTTAAGACGTATATGCCTTAATGGACCGAAACGTCTTATCTCACTCCTGCCTTCTTTTCTCATATTGTTCTTTTTGTATTCCATCATGCCTCCGCAGCTTAGGATTCCAAGGTCAACCTGGAATGCTACAATCGGCTTACCGGTTTAGTTTATAATATGCATGACGATATTTAAATTATTGGATTGACCTAGAATGCAAATGGCCTACCTGCTACTCTGACACATTATATGTAGTATTTAACTGTTCGTTTCGTCCATCTATTATCAGC